CATACTGAAGTGATGTGTACAAAGCTATTGTTTAAAAAATGCTGGAAGAAAAGAATAGAATAGACAGAGAGGTAAGAAGGACTGTAAAAGAAGAAAAGCTAGGAAAAGTTAGGAGACTGAGTGAAATAGCAAGAATAAGGTAGGCTAGATAGCAATGATTTACCAGTAGTAACTGATGCATGTCACATATGGCAATTGTAAAGTTGCAATTAAAAAATAGCAAAGTTAAACTGATGGGAAATGTGAAAAATAAACTAGGAAGCCGAAAGAACAGCAGGAAAAAAGAACAAGTATTTGTGAAAAGGCCTTAGAGTACTACCTGATTAGAAACTGAATGTGTATTAACCCTGTAAGAAACTGTTACTTACTAGAGCAATCTAAGGGTCATATATGCCCAAGGATTTGCTGATACAGTTCTACAGAGGAATTATTGAGTCTGTCATTTATACCTCAATAATTGTCTAGTTTGGCACAGCAACCAAACATGACAGATACAGACTTCAACATATAGTTAGGACTGCAGAAAAAATAATCACAACCAGCCTGCCTTCCATTGAGGATCTGTATGCTGCATGAACCAGAAAGAGGGTTGAGAAAATATATACAGACCCTTCACATCCTGGACATAAACTGTTTCAACTTCTCCACCTAGGATGCTTCTATACGGCACTGCATGCCAAAACAACTAGACACAGGCAGTTTTCCCCGTGCCAACACTCTGCTGAACAATTTATTCCCACAGCGCTGTCTTGGGCCTAAAGATGTTACCCATATAGTAGGTTGTATTGCTATTATCCTTCTCATCTTCTTTCTCAACTTTCTGTTTTTCTCATCTTCTCAATCTTCCCCTATTAGTATCTTATGAATTATCCCTTAGGATTAATGATTGTAACTATGATTATGACCTATCACTTTGTTTGTATGTATACTGAGAGCTTATGAACCAGAGACAAATTCCTTGTGTGTCCAATCACACTTGGCCAATAAATAATTCTGTATTTAATGGTTTTACCATGACATGTGGCTGTCTACTTTTTCCTTTTATGCCTGTTAAGAAATGATTCCAAGATATCAATCTGCATTTTTGTTTTCTTCAGTTATGTATATTCTGAGAAGTGTACATTTTGAAATCATGAGTCTTGTCCAGTAAAAGGGAACAATTTAGTTGTACCCTAGATTTGACTATAAAATGGATATTGTGATATATTTTAAGTGGAATATGCAAATGTTCATCTTGAATATAAATTAATATAAACAAATAAAAAATAAAGCAAGTCTAGAACTACATTACTCAGTAATCACATAAGAGATGCATTGATATTTTTTCAAATTATTTTCTTTCATTATAAACTAGAAATATTGCCCTAAAATTACAATAATACCTACTTAGTTGGTAGTCACAGTCAGTATAATATATGCTGTACTTCTGCAAGTCTGTTAAAAGATCTTTGTTCTAACCAAAAGCGTTACCTATCAATATTTTGTTCTTGCTAGAAATATGTATTTTATCACAGATTTGAGTCAGTAGATGGCTCTCTTGAGTTTTCCTTGGTACACCTAACATTGTAAATAGCTACCCTAGATTTTCAAATTATAAAAGAATTTGTTTTTCTTCGTGATTTTAAAAGAAAATCTTAACTCAATTTTAATGCTTGTTTTGTTTTGCATCATTTTCTATCCCACATTATTTTCTCATTAATATGCATCATCAATTTTTTGTACAGTATCAGATATATAAACTGAATTTTATGTAACTAAAGTCACAATGTTTCCTAAGTGGAATAATATAGAATAAATAAAATGAGGAAGAAGTAGAGAGGAAGCTTACCATTAGTAACTCATATATACATCACTTATGGTAACTGTAAGACTACCTGATTAAATAATATGGCTCTAGTATAGAGATTAGATTTTATATTAGTGGTTTATTAGTAGTTTTCCCGCAAGTGAAATTCACAGATATACCAGTCTACATACCCACTTAATTCATTATTTGGTGAAAAACCCATTACAGTTCCTTGAAGTTTGATTTTATTCTGTCTTGCATGAAAATTCTACAAGAAGTAAAGAAGTGTTCATCAATATCCTCAAAATTTCTTCGTCTTTAGTGTATAAAAGCTGTTATAAAACAATTCAATTTCAACTTCACCTTGCCCTGCCAAATATTGATGTATAGGTATGGATTTCTTATACACAAGGGAAACAGAAAGGCTAAAGGAGACACAATTATTCCCCATTATAATTCATGGATTTTTATTTATTTAATATCTAGAATATTACTGTCATAATATTATACATATGTATAAATATTAGACAAAGCATCCTATAATAATTATCTTTTCGTTATTATAATTCTCTGTTTTTACAAAAGGATGAAAATATTCAAAGACTTTTAAGGAGTGAATGTCTGCAGTATGCACTTAAATCCTAGATGAAAGGCAACTGTGATTTACTTCCTGCTCCTGATACTATTAGACAGTATGGTTAATTTTCTGTTATTGTCTTAATTTGAGGAATTAGAATCTTTCTTTAAATAGTCCTTATTATGTTTTGTAAATTGAAGATTAGTTCCCTATTTGGTTTCCTCTGTCAAGGTCCTGATCAAAGTGAATTGTTTTTCCAGAACAGAAGAATGCTGGAAATTCCTTCAAAGCTTCCATTAGTATGTAACATTCTATTTAAGCATCAAACATTCATCTTAAGAATTAATAGATTATGCTGCAGTTCAATGAATATTTAGTTGTTGCAGTTTTTGGCAAGATTTCAAAAGTGGTTTGCTATTATTGCCTGCTTCCCAGGGCTGAGAAAAAATGATTGGCCCAAAGTTACCCAGCTGGCTTTGTGCCTAAGGTGGGACTAGAACTCATGGCTTTCAAGATTCTAGCTGGTGCCTTAATCACTACAACAAACTGACTCCCTAATATAGTTTACAGGTTTGACAAGCACTGTAAAATGCCAGCAATGTCAATTGTTGTCTTAATAGAACAGAACAGAATATTCTTTATTGGCCAAGTATGATTGGACACACAAGGAATTTGTCTCTGGTGCATAAGTTCTCAGTGTATATACAAAAAACAAAGTGATACGTCACAGATCATAAATCATAGTTACAATAATATATTATAAGATACAAACAAGAAATGATAAATCATAAGATAATAATAGAAGGTAGTAGGAAAGATGAGAAAATGAGAAAGATGAAAAGATGAGAAAGTGAGAAAGATGAAAAAGATAATAGCAATACAGCCTAATATAGATATGTGGCTATTAAAGCTACTGTAAATAATCCCTTGTTCTGAAAGAATCTCTGAAACAGGGGTGTCAAACTCGCAACGTCACATGATGTATCATGACTTTTTTTTCCATTGCCGCAATGGAGTGGGCGTGGTTTTGGCATGACACATCTGGACTGCGGGCCGGCAGTTTGATATCCCTGCTCTAAAATAAACTCCCAATATAAGTTGTTGTATCGAATTTAGTGCCATTTTAAAATTTAGAGGGATAATACTATTTTTTCCATGTTGACCTTAGAGAAAGCAAGCAAACTCGGGGAACAAAAATAAAAATAAAAATAGTTATTTATTTCTATAGTTTATATTGTTGCCATTTCATAGGGTAGCAAATTGCTAGTGCTCTATTTTGTGCATTAAAATTTTGGGAAGAGTACTGGTTATTATTATTATTATTATTAAAGTCCAAAAAACATTTAGCTGAAATGACAATGCCTGCAATTCATATTTGGAAAATTTTGGCCTTGGCTGTACATTGTGCTGTACAGATACAATCTATAAGCATTTCATACAAGTATGTTTGAAGAAAAATTATGTATAAAACCAGTGCATCTTGCATTCCAATCAAATGATTTGGACGATAAGCATATGAAGCTATAGATTTCTGGATGCTTTGAAATTCATTTTCATGTATGACACTTAGAGCCATGTCAACTGGATGTAAATTTACAAGACAAATGCCTCCTATCTCCTTTTGGTTCAGTATTAGCAAGCTGGATGTTCATATGGAAAAAGAAGTTCATGAGTGATTCTTCTAGGTGACCATCTTTACAATTAACACATGACTTCAAATCTGCCTTGTTCAGTACAGCCACATCTACCAGCTGCTGATTTAATTAATGTTATCTTTGCATAGCAACAAAATAATTTTGTGCACTGTTTCTCAAAGACTATATAATTTTAACATTTATGACATATTGATAGTGGGCAGTCTGTGTGGTGGACTAGGATATCTTTGGATTAGGTCAATAAAAGATGCCCAAATGTTGTCAAGGTTTTCTGTATCTTTAATTGCACACAAAAGTGCCAAAAGAAGGAGGGAAAGGACCACAGTCAACCACACTTTGTTTATAGATAAACTAGCACCAGTCTTTTTTGTCTTGATAACTTGATGATCTGTAGCAAACAGACTATTTCACTGTAGTGTGAACTAATTAAAATTATTTGCTTCAGCACTTGTTGTAAATAATCACTGAACTTTTTAAAAAAATTCCAGCCTTAAAAAATCCCAAATGGTTAATTTAGCTGATATAATGATTTCTAAAATGTCTCGATTGCCAACTGTATAGTTGAACAGAGATGTTGGTAAGTTGAGAAGTACATGTTTGAATATTATTGCAACAGATTTATTTCTACCCTTGGTATATCTTTATTTTGTCTATTTAGAGAGATTATACCTTTTGTACACTGTAAGCATGTACATGTTGCTTTTTAAAACTATAAATGTGCTTATTTTGTTTCTGTACTAAAAAAATTAGATTTCCTCCCCCCTCTCATGTTTTGCTCTTTTTCTCTCACTCTAAATGTTTTCATTTCAAATGATTACCATGTGCCTGAATGGTTCCCCCTCCCGCTTTTTTTTTTTTTTTCTAACCAGAACCAAACAACTCCTGAGAGAACAGGAGCCAAGGTTCAATTTGTGGACATTAGACAGTTATGTAGTCTAGGAAAATAGAATCTAGAAGCAGGCGTGAGAAAGTGGCTCCCTCCCCTCCTTTCTTTTCCTTCTTGTCCTACTTGATTTAGAGGTAATTCACATTCGCGAAAAGTAGCAGCGGCTCCAAGCAAAATGAAGACAGAACGCAGAAAGAATCGGGCGAAATTGATGTTAAAAATTGGGCAGTTGGGTTTTGGGGAGGACCACATCCCTCCCAAATCCTACAGCCCAGATGTAGTGACCTCTACTGCAGTCTAGCAACGGAGGAACCGGGCACCTGGATATCCAAAGGCAGCCCAAGGCTGCCAGCTCTTCGGCCCTTGGAACTGCTGTTAAGCCCCTCAGGGTAGCCCCGCAGCTACGGTACAGCGCTTCCGGGAGAGAGGTGCCGCCCTGCCGGGGATCTACCAGGAGGCCGGCGCGGAAGGAAGAGAAGCCACGAAGGCGATTTGCTCCAGACACAGCCACACATCGCTCTTTGTTGTCACGGGGGCCGAGGCGCCTTTCCACATGAGTCACCTTTCCCGTCCGGAAGGTCAAAGCTGGGTCCGACCGTGTCGAGCGACGCGGAATGCACGAGGAAGGCAGGGTTGGGACGACAGTTGGGGGGGGGGGGGTTCGAGGGACGAGACGCCGCCGCCGCCGCCGCCGGTTAGGAGCCTTCGGTGCCAAAGCCTTTAGTCCCAACGGGGGAGACTTTCCGGAGCAAGGAGGAAAGACCCAGACGGCAGATTACAACTTCGCTTCCCTGAGGGCTCCGAGCTCTCTTTCTCACACCCCCATTTCTTTCCCTCAAGAGCAGGTGCTTTCTCGTCTCCCACCCTCCGCCTCACCTCAGCAGCGGCCACACGACCTCGCTCTCCCACACCCACGTTTTTGGCGCGCTCTCCCTCCTTTTCCCCCTGCCGGGCACCTTCTTTCTCTCCCCCCACGCGCTCCGCGGTTCTCGCACGAGCGCTGAGCGGCGATCACAAAAGCCCCACTGGAAGGCTAAGGGGAGGCCGCCTGTAGCTCTCTTGGCGACGGGCAGTTGCCGTCGGCCGAGCCTTTTCAGCCCCCCCCCCCATCATCTCGCTGGCTTGTTCTCGCCTCGTTTCCCAAACCGCTCGTTGTTGCTGTTTTGTGTTGGGTGGGGGGAATCGCCCCGCTTTTAACTCCCCACCCACGCCCCAAGGACAAATCCCCTCCCTCGGTTGCCTTGGGAAGGAAGGGAGAGGGAGGTTGTGTGTGTGTCTGTGTGTGTGACGGGGTGTCGGCAAGGGTGGGACTGAAGTGCTTTGATGAAGTCTTTTTCTCTCAGGAGCCAAAGCGTGCACTTTCCAGATGCTGCTTTCCGAAGCACTCGGCGGCAGCTCTGACGAGGAGGAGGAAGACGCGGCGGTGACCCGAGCGATGGAAGCGGCAATTCCCATTGCCGCCGCCGCCGCCATGGAGAACCAGGCATGAGCTGAGTCGAGTCGTCGAGGCAGTATCGCAATCTAGACAACCCGCCACAGCCGCGGTGGCTGCTGCTTGTTGCTGCGCTCTTGGTTCGGTCCGAAGCCGTGAGAGGGCTTCAGGTGTGGGGTGACCTCGTGACTTTTTCCGTCCTTTGCCCTTGGCCGTAGGGCGATGGATTCGCGCCTAGGCTGAGGAGCTCAAGCCCGGCGCCCTTTCCGCGGAGCTTGAGTCGGGCGCGCGAGGGAAGCGCGGGTCGGAGAGGCCATGGCCGCGGCCATCGCCAGCGGTTTGATTCGCCAGAAGCGCCAAGCGCGCGACTTGCAGCACTGGGACCGGCCCTCGGCCAACAGGCGGCGCAACAGCCCCAGCAAGAACCGCGGACTTTGCAATGGCAACCTGGTGGATATCTTCTCCAAGGTCCGCATCTTTGGGCTCAAGAAGAGGAGGTTGCGGCGCCAAGGTGTGTGTGTGTCTGCCTGTGTGCTGTCTGTTTATCTGTTTGTGTGCGCCTGCGTGTGTTTTGAAGCGAAAGTTTTGAATTGTGGCTGCTCAAGTTGGGGCTATAACAGGTAGCCTTCGACTGACCACCACAATTGAACCCAAAGTTTATGTTGCTAAGTGAGAAATGGGTTAAGCGAGTTTTGCCCCATTTTACAACTTGTCTTGCCACATTTGTTAAGTGAATCATTGCAGTTGTTAAATTAGCAAAAATGGTGGTTAAATGAATCTGGTTTCCCTGTTGACTTTGCTGGTCAGAAGGTTGCAAAAGGGGATCACATGATCCCAGGGCACTGCAACTGTCATAAATGTGAACCAGTGGCCGAGCATCTGAATGTAAATCATGTGACCATGGGGATGCTGCAATGGTCATAAGTGTGAAAAATGGTCAGAAGTCATTTTTTTCCCAATGCCATTATAATTTCAAATGGTCACTAAGCAAACAGTTGTAAATCGAGGACTACCTATACCCTTTTAATAAAGGACAGAGAATGAATGAGGAAACAAACAAATAGATAAGAGAAATGACCTCCCCATACTTTCTTGATGCTTCCATTAGGACTTGCAGTTGAGGAAAAAAAGGCTCTCCCATTCGCTCTTTCAGATCACTCAGTGCCCATTGTAGAGATGTATTGAGTGCTAATCTGGCAGAAGTGGTTCTCCTGGCTTTCATTAAGCAGTAATCTGAAACAAGTTTTCCACCATAAGCATGCATATGAACAAATGTCTAAACCCCCTACTAAATTATATTTTGTGTGTAAATGGTATAGTTAAAAAGACAAAAATCCATTTAATTATAATCAATAATCAAGCTTACCACTGAGATGCTGATAGTATTTATAACACTTTATATAAATGATGGAACAACAATCCACCATGTCTGTGTTTTGAGTACTTTGATTACAAGTACTGTGTTTCAAACGCTGCAATATTTGGTGAAGTGATTGGGAAAACTGCTCTCAATAAATCCATTTACTTTTGATGTAGTTAAGAGAATTATAAAAAAAAGTCTGGCCTTGTGCCCCAGCCTTCTGATGGGTTCAACCATGCTACTAATGCTTGAGATGGGTCTAGTAATTATTTAGAATACTAGATGGGTGTAGTAATTATTTAGAATAATTAATGCCGAGAACAGGTATGTGGCACTGTGCAAATGAGATCCTTTATGCCACTTCATTTTCATGCAGAACAAAATGCTTAAAAAGCATTTTTCCAAATGTTTTAGTTGAGCTGGGTAAACTCTCAGAGGGCTTAAAGTACAACAGAAAATGTTACTCTTTAAGACCTATGAACAGTATTCCAACTTGTTTCCAATACAGTTGTGTGAAAATGATTAAGAAACCTTGAAGCCCTGTAGAGATAACAAGGAGAAAAATAGTATGTGTACTGTAAGACAAAATCAGTAATGGAAAAAACATATGATTTAAAAGTAAATCTCCAAAACCAATCATGTTTGATTTTCTCATTGCTTTCATTTCCCCCAGAAGATTGTCTTAATATTAATAAATTTAACAAAATCTATTTGAAGGCAATTTTTCTAATGTAAAAGATAATTTATAATTTTTCCAGTACTAACAATTTACATGGAGAGAAGGAAACAAAGTTTTTATAGGAAAATAAGCCTGATCAGAGAACAAACTGCCCAATCTATGATAAACTAAAATGTCCAAAAGATGCACATGAAAAAATGTGACAATTTGAGATGGGATAATAAATGTAGCATTCAGTGCATTTTGACTGATTTTCAAAAATTAATAAATTAGCAAGATAAGATGTGTTAGACATTTGATGGCACTGTAACTTTAAGTATTCAGAGAAATTGAAGTGGAGAACCCTTAATGAGTAAATATAGGGAAATTCCAATTCCATAACAACCGGTCTTTGCATGTTATGGCTGTCTCACTCTGATTATGCTGACTTTTAGTGATTGTCTTCCTTTGCATTCTGGGATACATTACCAGATTTTGGGATACCCCCCTAACACTTGCCTCTTCCTCTTCAGTTTATATTCGTTTTATTCCATTTCTTCCCTTTCTGTGAACAGTACAACACTATGTGATTTCCACCTCACCTTCAATTTATTATTTTGTATTTCTTTTCACCTGTGCAATCACCAAGATGATCTTCCACGGCAAAGAGCTATAATTTAGGGAATCTTTAGGCTAATATTAATATTAGGCTAATATACTAGACGTTGTGTATTTTTGTTTTTCTCTATCATGCTCTCTCTTGTGTTCACAATTCAGTGGATAGTAGGGGTGGGGCAGAAATGCTGGCTTATATATTCTCATTGTACAAATGAATTTGACCAAAACATAAGCATATCATATAAAGAGGTGTGATAAACAAGCTGCTCTCATGGTTTAGAGAATTTCCTATTCTGGTTACACCTTATATTTGCAAAGGGTCAAAGTTCATATTATTCATGCACAAAGAAAATGTCCTTGATTTCTCCCAAAATGTTTTCCCCGTTTTATTTGAAAATTCTGCACGATTTTTAAATTTCTCCTTTATATGTAAAACAATGTATTGATCAAATTACCAAACGTACTAGAGAGCAATACTAAAATGTTTTCCTTGGCTAAGAAAACGATCCATACTTCATAACTGATACCTTACTTAGTGCATAAATTATACTTAAGAAGTTTCAGTAGTGTGAGGAAGACTAAAAGAATATCTTTAAATGAATAGATCAAGAATAAAAAGAGTTTTAAAGCTTTACACTGTCATTACAAGTGTGATTTAGCAATGGCATAGCTAACAGCTACTGTATATAGAATACTAAACTGATTGTTATAGATTATTGAAATAAAGTACAGATAGAATAGTGATGCTTATAGTTGTTAGATTCTGTGCCTGCTTAATAGCAATTTTGTCAACAAAGCAACATTAATGGATCAATTTGTAACCACATTTCTTAGTTTATAGCAAAGGCATTGGAAGACTTAGCAATTTTGTATAATTTTTATTTTGAAAGTTGTAAGAAAGAGATTTCTCATAAACTGTGATATTTGTCATTCAGTTAATCTATGACATGCAACTTAATACTACATTCTGTATTTTTATAGAATAAAATGACACTAATAGTAGCATATACTTTCAGGGTTTAGGTACGGAGATGAGATATGCATTATATCTATTTATATTTACTTAAGATTACCCAATGAAAGAAGAACTGTATTCAATAATATATCTATAAAATTAAAGTGAATGAATTGCTAGCCTTAAATCATAATGTTTATTATGTCAATAATGGTCTTAAATAAAAGTAACTTAAAATGTACAGTGACTATGTTAAAAATCAGGAAATCCAATATGTCCAAGTCATAAAGCTGATTAATTCTCTATTAGGAAATGCTTCTTCAGCCATGTACTATCACTTCAAAAGATAACAAAAGATGAAAACTTTGAATGTATATTTGTGTAATATTGTAATTTATTCATTTCACCTTCATTCAAGGCATTCCCTTTTTTGTATTTCAGTATTCAGATATAGAACATTTATAGAGAATATTCCTAGAAAGCATTTATAAAATGTTTGGGTTTTTTTTCCTTTTAACTCTTTTGTTTTAAATAGTAAATCTAGTAGATATGACAATATGACCATATCCCTTGTTTTTTACAATATAAAAGTATATTTGCTTCCTCAATATGATGACTTAAACATGATTTAACTTTAGAAACAAAAATCACTGTTCTCCAAAACATGAATTTTAAAAATGGAAAAATATTGACAAATATTTTCTTTAACCATATATCATAGCAGTTATATAAACAACTATTCATGTGTAAGTTTTACTTTGATACATTTTTATTGCTTGTAAGGAAAAAAGGTTGTTTTGCAAACATCTTAAGCTCATCACAAATCAGATTATTTTCCAAGTCCACAGGTTGTGTGATCAGTTTTATTGATCATCTATGATCAGAACTTGTTTAAAACAATATATGTTGTGAAGGAGTAAACCAGTTCAACTCAATTCAGTAATTAGATCTTGATTGGTGAAAAGTCTGAGCTAACCTAATGAACTGAATCATAATTAGAAATTAAATATTATTTTAGTTACTAATGATTAACTTTCACTGATTTTAGTAGCTGTACTTTAAGTGTGTTATCTTATGCGCTGAAACTTTTCATACTTTCATGGAACTATGTTAGGATTAGGTTGGAATGCCAGAAAATAGTTGTGAACAACAATTGAAGGAAAGCCCAACATAATTTAATGACAATAAAAAAAATTAAATGTGCTTACATTTTGTTATTGTTTCTGTTGATCTTTTGTCCTAATTGAGTCATCACAGTTGCAATTATTAATAAAGAAAATTTTCTCAGCCACACTGCTAAGCTACCATCAAAAATCATTTTCTTGTACAATAAATCCCTGAATAGACCAGGGATCTACTCAGATTGTTAAATAGTTTTCAGTCAAGTTTTACCTGTCATTGTTAATGATTAAAAGTATGATTAACTTTTTAATATTTTAAAATATAGTAATTAAATACAATTAAATAAACTTTTTGCAGTTTTCTTGTATTTATTTAGAAGTAAATTCCAATGACTTTAATGGGGATAATTCCTAGGTAGATAGTATAATTTGCACTTTAATTTGGTTGCTACAGAAGGTTTCTCCCAGATAAGCGTGCAAGATTGCAGCCTTAATCCAGTCATCATTTGGATAACAGTTAAGCAGTTAATTATTGTATGTTAGGAAATTGAAATGAAACATTTTACTAGTTTCATTTGCATCTTTCTTAAATGACCAATTGATAATATTTTTCTTAAAAGAAGTTTTAAGTTCACTGAAAATACTATCTTGTTGAAAAAAAATAACAGGTATCTGGTTGCATGTTTACAATGGCACTATTTTTTTGAATGTCCTATGCACCCTTTGTGTAACTTAACATTTCAAATAAAACATCTAGTCACTCACATGAGAAATTCCATATAGAATAATACATATGAGG